TTAAAAAAAACATTAGATCAGTGTTTTAATATAGTAAAAGCAATTACACTTTTAATGAAATTATTATAACTACATTTTCCCATTGAACTTTCATTTTAACTTTTGAAATTTTTAAAACTGGATGGTAAGAGGAATACTTAAATGATACGATTCTGTTAACATCGCATGCCTTCAAATCGTGCATTTACTTGGAATAAACTTTTATGTTATGCATTTAAATTTTAAGATTACATACTGATGAACTTAATTTTTATTCAGAAAAAGGTCATTTAAAAAACCAAAACAAAACACTTTTTTTGTTCGCACTTTTGAAAAGAAGGATGAGGTTTTACCCTTGACAAAATTGTTTTATTAAGTTAATAATAATAATAGATGGATTTATATAGCGCAAATAAACAAGGTCTCTATGCCCTCGACAATAGGTAAAAAGACAACAACAAAATAGCTAAATAAAAGCAAGGGAAAAAACAAATAACATCCATCTAGAACCCAAACCAAAGTATGAGGTTACACCATACCGATAAGATCTTTTGTTGCCATGGTAATCCATCATTAGTGGTAAAAAGATTACAAACAAAAGTTTCAACCCATATTGGAATTGGTAAAACACTTGAAATCAAACTTTTATAGAAAGAAATTACAGGTAACGCAAAAAAAAACAAAAACAATAAATAGACTTACAGAAATCCGATGGGGCATCCGTGGCATCAGGGGTTGGAGGCTGCCGGCGACTTATACATTTATGTACCATTGCTGGTGATAGAGTAGGTACTTTTGGTGTTTACAACTGAACCGTTTGATATCCAACTTACTATTAAGCACTTATAACCACAAGCAGTTAATTTCATACTCGCCACAATGGGTTTTGTCAATTGCTAAGAAAAAAAAGTGGGCGGCGACTTTGGGAAGCACTTTTTGTTATGTTTTTTTTCCCAGCCCATGTGATCGCATGCCTTCTAGATTTCAACAATCAGGGTTTTCTACTGTGTGGTAGTTCATTGACCAATCAGAGGGTTTGATGCATTACAGGAATAATGAGTACAAATTAGACAGCTCGGAGGGGGAAGAGTTTTCCTACAAATAATTACTATAACAGCAAATCTAATGTTTAGTTTTATTTTTATCTATATTCATATTTTTTATGAATAACTGCTTTCCTTAAAATATTCCAATTACTTGTAGTTTAGCTACATACAATATATTACACATATATCATGTATAAATATTGTATTATGTGTATACTTTTACTAATCTTATATATTATTACTGTACTCTATGTCTTTTTATACTTTTCAAAATTGTCAGTGGAAACTAATTTTTGATTTTTTGGACAATAAATTATCATTATCTTGTATAAAAAAAGTTTTATATTATTATACTTAAATCCTCTATAAAGTATCATGCAGTAGTTCCAGTTTTATTTGTTTTTTATTGTGTTCTTTGTTTTTTTTTTTCAAAAAAATACTTCAAAGAAAACTGTAATTTTATTTTTTTTGTCTGGGAACACAAACTACCCGCACATATAAAATTTATATTAATTTGAACTCTCATCTAATTCATTATTTCTAAGAATTGTCTTGCCTAGTTAAAGCAGATGCTTTTGTTTGATGAGGGTTCGGAAAGTGCATCTTAAGAATGAACAAACGATTCTAATTTATGTATGGAGGTGGCTGCGTGCGATTACAGAAGGCTTAAACATAGGCAGTATTAATATGAGAGCCTTGGGCAGTGAAACCTTTACCTTAATGATATATTATAATATCCTATTTAAAAAAAAATATTATGCAGTAATAAATAAATAATAATTTTACTTTATCATAAGTGACTATAATGTTGTATGTACCTCCGTAATTGTTGATTTAAAACTGATGATTTATAAACTGGAAATAACAATTGAGTTTGTTCAAATGTCCTAGGATAAATTCTAAAGTAATTCTCATCAGACACTGACAGGACAATTTCTAGTGCGCTTGAATGTAAATGTTCTTTGAATAAAGAACATAATCCAAACTAACTTTATCTTTTTTCAATAATAAATATAATTTATGCTTTATTTCTTTTATTTATTAATCATTATTCATGCATTTATTCAAATACTTTTTAATCTCAATTCCATGCAAAGGCACTGAATTTAATTAAGGTCCAAATTAAAATACAAATTATTAAAGTAAAAAAGTAAATATATTGAAAATTTAAAAAAGTAAATTTGTGAATACTGTAAATATTAGTCAAAAAATATTAAACAGTATAAAAAAATACACTGTAAATTTTTAAAATATCTTGGTTAAAATTTTCTTAGAGATATGATCTTCAAACATAGAAACAATACATAAAATCATTCCATACAATGTTGTCCTGTGTTCAAAAAATACCAACAACAGAATATTTTTCAAAAGTATTTGAAGTCACACATTTTGTAAGTCACATATTTGATTGAGCAAATACTGTGTCTGAAACACAACACTAGCAGCACACTTGGCACCGTACATCAACAGCCCCATCTGGAGGAAATTTGTGCAGTTAATAAAACTACAATTAAGAACAACCAACATTTTCATAGGGGTGCATGCATCAATCTACCCTCTTTGAAATGTCCACTAGAGAAATCACTGTACCACTCCCACCGGTATTTACTTAAAAAATAAATTTGGAAACTGGGACTAAACTAAAAAATTTCATCCTTTCTAATCTCAAATTTAATTCTGACATTTTTGGTTCAAAATATTAGATGATTAGAATGGTCATTGATAGTCTTAATTTGATTCCATGAGCATGTTCCTAGAGGGAAAGTTATATTCCCAAACCCCCAACATTCCCTCCCCCTATCAGTAGGCATAACTGACCCTGAAGACAATATGTATTAATGGGAATCATCTACATTTGTTGAATCAACAGGTGTACAGTATGCGAATCAGTACAATTTATTGTTTCAAAAATAAAGCTTTACTGTACATAATCAAAATTATATTCCTACAGAAAATAAGAGTAGTCCTGTTCCGAAAGTGAAAAAAAAATATTGTAAACTGATTATAAATTGACAAATCTATCACAGATCTGAAATCTTCTGTAGTGCTTTTCTTGAAACGTTCTAATACACATTTTCTATTGTTGCCATTAAATAAAAAAACCTGCCAAAACAGAGTACGGCGTTTATGGGAAAAACATTTTCCCATAAACTTCGTACCCCGTATTGAGGTTGCACCGCATTGTACAGACATTTTGGGTTAAAAAAATATATATAATCATCAATTTTGATCTGGAAAAAATAGAAAGATATCAGTCTAGTACCGAATGATAATATGATTATCAGCAATACAAAATCATTTCTTCTTTGACAGAGAAAAGCACTGTTCACCAATAGAAGCAGAATTTTTGAAAATTGCCAAACTATTCTATTACATTTGATGACGAAAATTACCGAAGAATATTACTGGGGTGTGAAGCATACAAAAGGAAACATATCCTTATAACAATGTTGCGTAGTCCTGTGTTTGTTTTTATGAAAGAAAGCACTTTATGATCAAAAGCCGATTCGCTGGTAAGGGTATCAACTGGTGGGACTTTAGAAGCCCAAAGGCAACTTTTTGTTTTTTTCCTCTGCAATGCAAGTACCGATTCCAGCTTATATCTTACTACATGTACAATAATAAATATACTAATAATTGTCCTTGTTAACAACCTCCTTTGATCTGACCGTTTCTAGGTCACGCCAAGGTTTCCATGTAAAAATTATCAGCAAGATTTACTCAGCACTGCATACACCTGTAATCCAAAACCCATTAGGTTTTCATCATGTTTTTCAAGATATTGGACTAACTGTTTGGCATTTTCCTTCTGGTAAAAATCAATACAGTCAACAGATGAGTGAAATGTTTTTGCAACTTTAATAAACAGCTCTGTTTTTCTACTTTAAAATTAGGAATTCTTTCAAAAACCATAAAACAAATTATTTGCTATACATGTAGGCCTAATATAGAGCAACCAAGCAAAATGTGACACATGGCCACACTCCTACTTAAAATTCAACACCTTTTAAAAAATTATGAAACTTTCACAGACAATTAACAATAATATTTAATAGAAAGGCACTACACTTTCTTTTTGATAAGAACCAGCAAATTTTTCCCAGGCTCAGTATTCTTATTTTTTTGCCAATTTCAGGCTCATTATTTTATACACTTTTCAAAGAGAGATTATTGTTGCACAGCAGTATCTGTATAACATAGTCACACCTACTGAACATCGGTACAGATAAGATTGTTGGTTTTTTCTATTTTAAAAAAGACAAAAACCTCATTTGATATTTTACCAAAGCCTCAATTTTTTCTTATCTATTAAGTAATTTCAGTCTCGGTGTTCTTATAAAATGTGTTCATATAAAAAAAGTGTATCTTATATAATAAAAAAAAAAGAAGGAAAATAGCTAAAAAGGTAAAACTCATAAAATATAATACACTTTTTAGGCCTCCTATCATGAGAATGCAATTTTTTAGATATTTAAAACTATATTTTAGTTTGTACAGTGACTTGCAGGACATTATAAACAGATTTCAAAGTTATAACAATGCAAATGTACATATCAGGGTATAGGTATTATGTAAAAAAAAAATGATTTATAGTTGAGAATTTACTAACACAACTGTAAATACTTTGTAAGGAAGCAAGTTAATATAAATATTTATTCTATTATAGATATCTAATATCATGCAAGCAAGGAGTGGCCACATACCCAGTCAACTTCCTGGTATAGTAAAGTGCATCATAGAAATGATCACCATAATTAAAACATGTTTTTCCTAGACATGCTAAAATAATCTCCATGGAAAAAGTCAAGGGTAGGTATTGTATCTATTATTCAAAATATATTTCTTCATTTGTTTAATAAAAATGACCCAGATCTCACGCTCTAACCCCATTAGACCCTCAATTTCCTATCAAAATATGTCAAATGAAAACTTAAAAACAATATATAAAATCAAATAATGAAACTAGTAATTTACCTTTGAACATATCAATTAAGTCTGGATCCTTTCCTTCTGTCCCTCCTGTAACTTCTTCCTCATCTTCCATAATCGTCTCCTTCGACATATTGTAGTCCTCAATCTCTTCCTTCATAATTTCGTCTGTTGCTTCACGTTTTATCTGAATATCTGCTGATGTCATGATCGGCTAATAAAAAAGCTGAGAAGTAAGCGTACCTCTGTAAAAAACGGAAAAACATAACAATGAAACTTTGTCAGCTTAAATTTTCAAAAAATTATCTCATAAAATGAAATGTATGTATATTATTTTTCTAATTCTTAACAGATGAGATCAAATGGCAAATGTTTGTTCAAACAAATCTATGTTCAATGACTGATAGAATTTGGAAGATGCTCCAGAAATTCTGAGAATACACGGAGCAGACAAAATTGCTGGCTTTACTTAACCAAGCAAACTTGGTGTTCAAACTTACAGTTTTTACAAATTTGGAATTTGCATTTAAATAGTAATTAGCATGTATTATTATGAAAGATAACTACAATAAACAGTAAATTAATTTACTTATGGGATAATTTAACATACATTTTTCTTTCCTCATTTGTAGATATATTAATATACAATATGTAATAAAATGGCATTCATAGATTAAAACATTTTATAGCACTAAAAACCCATTCTTAAAATCCTGGTTAACACATTTAATGCAATGAGCCACAAAATACCCTTTGAATACTTTGAATAAAAAATACAATTTTATACATTAGAAAATCTCATAATATTTGTCATTATTTAAAATGATTATCAACAAATTAATGGTAAACAAAGAAACAGATTTTAACAAAATACTGTAGTGTCTTAAAAATTATACTTCACAAAACTGATTATAAAATTATTTGTCCTTATTTGAAATAACTTCTCAACAAATAGTAAACAAATAGACCTATTTAAACAATGAAAAAAACCCACAAATATACTGTTTTAAATCTCATGTATTGTTATAATGCATCAATATTTAATTATAACAGGAAAAACATCAGGAGTTTATAAACACAAGTGCATATAAATTATCCAAGGATAAATCACACAAATAACAAATGCTTTTAAAATCTTACTATACAAAAAAACTTAGCACTAATCCACCTTAAGCACAACCCATTGAGCTCAATTCAGAATAAAGACTAAAAAATTTCCTTACATGCGACAAAAGCAACACCATCGTTAATGAAGAAATTTTCACCAGATGTGCATGTCATGACAGACGTGGTGTTTAGCAGAACTAGGCTATACTGTAGTAGACCCGACCGACCGGTGGCACAAAGCCTAATACATCTTTTAGCAGAAGAGGGTCTAATCCCTCAATTAATATAGCTCTGTACATAACTAGGTTAAGACACCAACCTACATAGCAACGTTTAATATGGGTTCAGCCAGTACAACCTGCAATTCCATAATAATTTCTCAACAAATATACAAATTTTGCATAGCATTCGTATTTTCAAAACTAGGGCAGCCATGTTATTTTATTTATTCTTAATATTATATTCTTATTACTTGTTATTATCTTTAATTAATAAACACCAAGATATCATTCAAATAACACTACAATATAAACCAACAATACATAATACACAGAAACTTACATAATCTTTAAAAATTGTACAATTTTACTAACATGAGTTCTTGTATATTTTGACAAGTATACTCACTTTGTTTCCTTTTGTTTATTTGTTTTCTACAGTATATTGGATAAGCTTAAATTTAATATTTTGACAAGAACATTTGTTTACATGTATTTGTGTTGTAAATGAGTATTGTTTGTCTCTAACAAGCATGACGCATTTTAGTATATAGAATGGTTAGCAAGTGATTGTTGTGTTGTGTTGTGTGTGAGTGTACTGTACTATGCCATACCCATTGTACTGTAGGAAAAGTAGGTCTGGATATTTCATTGAATCATGGTTAAATATTATGAGAGCCTAAAATTAATTAAAATAAAAGTGGGAATGATGTTCTCATTATTGTCTGATCTGATATTTAAAGGTAATTTTCCTTCTCATAGATTTTTCTTCCAATAGAAACTTTAATTTATTATAACCTATTATTTTTTAATGGGATGACTAGAAAGATTAAGCCTCGCTCACAACCAAATCATTGTTCATCTTTTGACATCAATTCCTACACCCATACTGTATATTATGTGTTCCTTCCTCTTAGACTGACAATATTATTATTAATCATGAGCAAAGTTCAATCAATTAATATCGGTTGTAGCTGACCGATTCATCAACAAATGAATGAGATGAAATGCTATTTTAGTTGAATCCCAGCAGAATGGTGAAAGCGGTATTGGTAATGCCTTCATATTAATCAACTACAGGTCTACAATTGAGGCTTATTTGGGTATCCAAGGTTCTTAGGTAATAGCAAAGAGTACAGAATTGCTAGAGGTCCGACTGCCCTGATTTTGTACGCACGCAATGAAATGTTAAAAAAAGGTCTACCACAAGATAGGGGGCACCCTATTTATGAACCTTTTACCTTTTACCTTTTACGAGCCTTTTATGTTCTTTTGAAGGACACCATCTAGTTATGGTAGTACTTTTTTTGGAATACAGTAGGACTGCGTTCCAACGAAACCTCATGAGTAGGACCACTTGCAGTTATAAACTCTTTGGTAATAACATATCATAGATGCTTAATATATGAAGTTATACTACCACCTAAAAATTATGTAAAAAACATTAACTCTAAAACAAAAAAACATTGTTTTATTAATTTTTTCAAAAAAGTCACAGATCAATATGAATATTTTTCAATCCGATGTTTTACTAAAGAAATCATTTTCTGCCAAAATGTATAGTATTCATTAAATGTATGTAAACCGGTGACACATTTTTTTTCGTACATTAACATTCAGCTGGAATTTAATATCTTATTGAAATATACAAATTAGGTGATTTTTTTAAAACTAAAAACATTTATAGGTCCTATAATGATCATCGGTAGATTTACAATTATTTGGTAGTTTATCTTAGGCCTTGTCCAAATTATCAAATTTTATTTATTTATTTTTTAAATTTATTTATTTATTTATTTTTTAAATTTATTTATTAATTATTATTTTTTTAAATTTTATATATATATATATATATATATATATATATATATATATAGGCACATCAATGACTATATATGGGCATACCAGTTTTTTGTCACAGAAAATTTGATAATAATGTAAAGAGCTAGGTTATAATTATTCAATTGAAAATTACAAAAAAATATTTACTTATAAATTACCAAATACTTTAATATTTACATAGATTTGACTGGTACACTTAGCTAATAACTAATAATTTCATAGTAAATAGACTGTAAACATTGCAAACTGGACTATATCAGACTTTGAAAGTTGGCAAATTATGTTTTTCAAGGATTTTCCCTAGATTTTAACAACAGACATGTTGTACTGTATTATCTTCACAGATTGGGCAATCACATTTAAAATATTACATGTATGAAGACATCGGTTAGACCCATTATCACCGCTGCATGCTACACGCATCAAACGATGCAGTTAGTGAACTAGGTAAAATGGCAATTGCCTCTCATCTCCATAGGTACCCTGAGTTCCCTGCTGTATTAATAGGATCAGAACTGAATTATAGCCTAATGCATATGCTGGACTTCTTGAAAATTGATAGGCTCACCGAGAACTTGAGAGGGAAATCGAAAAGCGATGAATTTCGGTTGCTTTTAACGATGTAACAAGTAGAAAAAACAAAGACAAAGGAATAGAATACATGCCTAGAGTCAAATGTGCGTTGCTATTAGAACTCTGTACATTTGAATAATTTTACTGCAGAACTTAACCTCGTCATTTTTTTATCCATGTGGAATACTAATTCAATAAAGGATAAATGTGGAATAGAACTTTGTGGTTAATAATACTTATCTTCATAATCCCAATGTTCCTTCCTTCAAATTTTACAGAAACATTTCCACTCGAGGCTTCATATTCATAACAAATACTTTATAGAGCATTTATTTATTGAAGACCGATCATTTCTTCTGTTGGTTTATTACACCACTACATTATTCCACTTTGTTATTATTTATCCTCTTATTTAAGCATTTTCCAGCAGGTTACATTTCTCTAGATAGCTTAGTATTATCCTATCCCTTTGTTGGATAACAATGAAATAAAAGGATATGTTAATTTCATATACTAATTAGATATACCAAAATCTGTCACTGACGACCACGGTTTTTCACAAAAAGTGGCGACTAATGAAACAGTAACATTAATTACTTTATATTTCATTTCATTAACTATCATTAAATATAACATCGTCATTATTTAAAAATTTTTTTTTTAAATTTCTGTTGGTAATATCTGCCTGATTACATGATAATAATAATTTATGAGTCTTTGTTTTATTAGTGTAAATCTAGCACACAAGGGAAGTTCCAAGTCCAATTGAATCGAGCTACACCCTAATAGCAAATCTTAATCAAACAAATGAGTCAGGAGAATCCAATTAGTGCTGCAGAACCCAAACCCTGAATTTGCATTGTTAACGTACAAACCAAAGGTGGTTGGACTAATAACAATATTTTGCAAATGCACAAAACACAACGATGATCATTCCATATTCTTTTAAATAACTATCTACATCTGCTTTTATTTAGAGTTTATTTCTTTAAATTATAAACATTTTATTTTTAAAATGAGTTATTTTAACATACTAATTACAATATTACAAAAAGTGTATTTTTCGTATAATTGTTAATTGTTTTTAATTTTATTATTTTACAAACTGCCTTACTTGGATAATGAAAGCAAACAAGTTTAGGTCTTGTTAGTAATCTCTGTTAGTAAACAGAGATTAGTTTTTTCTTCTTCTTTTGTCTCCAAAATTATTTACTTTAAATCACCTTAAAGAAAGATTAATTTCATGATTATTATTGTTATAATTATTAGTATCAATATTAATTATGAATCAAAATCTGACAATGGTTTTGTTTTGTTATATTGTTTATTGTTATATAAATTTCTTATTTCAACAGGGTGGCTCATTTTATAAAACGTACTGATCATTGGTGCATTTCTAAACATAGAGCAGTGGCACATTGGTTGGAGTTCAAGCTTTTAATCCTGAGGTCAGGGTTTAAAACCCTTGCTGTGCATTTCGCTTTTGTATTTTGGACAGGCATTTT